TAGAATAGAATAGAATAGAATAGAATAGAATAGAATAGAATAGAATAGGAGTACTCCTAACTAGGGAGCTTTGGTGAACTAGTCCATCGGAACTTGCACTGCTAACTTAAAGGTGGCCCTGGCTAGGGGTTCAAATCCATCAGCCATTCTGTGGGGAAAAGATGAACTCTTCTCCTTAGTGAATTGCAGCCTCCTGAAAACCTGCTGGAGGGTCAGCTCTGGATTGGTTCCTACTCCCCAGCAAGAATGCTTTTGAGATACAGTCTTCTTTAGGGCAGCACATTGCCACAGTTTTCTCCTGTGGCCACCTGTGGCTGGGAACCACCAACATTACGGTTAGCAGCCAAGCACCAACCCACTGCATCACCATTCTCCCAAATCAGCACGTTGTGCCTAATTAATGGAAAAGTGTTGTCTCTCAGTTTCTGAAAACTGTAAGTAATTCTCATCTTGTCAACTTTGTTTTCTTAAATGCAGAGCAAACTGCTCCTTGGGATTCAATTTCTGACCATTTCCAAAATAAATATTGTTTTCAGGTTCATTTATGTGCATATACTCACCACACATTAAGTTGTAGATTTCAATATTTTCAAATGGTTCCACTTCAGTCTTCTCTTTAAAACTGGGTCCATGTGCTAGAAAGATAGCCTAGGTGGTAAAAGACGTACCATTACTAGATGCCAAAAACCAAAACTAAGTCTTGGAATGTTCCCTTCCATTTTAGTTCTACTTGTATTTCAGGTATATGTAAAGGTTTCTTTTCAGGATTTGGAAATTATGTTAAAATTTTCTCTTTATAATGTGCAAATTCCAACCAATACTGTCTCTACTGTGTTACATTTTACCAGCACCCCATATGTCAACAGAATAGGAGAATACAGACAACAGTGAGAAGACAATTGCAGCAACATTTTACAATGTTATTAGAAATTCAACACATGGCAACACGTGTTATTTTCAATCTTCCTTTCATCTGATTGTTCAAGTATGAAACATTAGCATTCTAAGAATTACATTTTCACACAACTTCCTAAATAACTTATTTCTAAAATATCCCCTTTGTAATTAGGATAAAGACACTTAAATATTTTTGCCGTGTGTTTCATTAACATTGTTGTTGTTATCATTAATTTAATTGTTTTAGATGATAAATAACTGGAATAAAATTATCAAACCTACTACTTGGGAGGAAATTGTCAAGTACAGACAAGGAATTATATTCCAGTAACAGTGATAAATAGATGATGGATAGACAGACAGATACCCCCCAAGATGGTCAAGAAAGAATATGAGAGATAGGTGAGAATTTTTTAAGTAATTAACTCAATTATCATATAATGCCCTACTAAATGGAAAATTGTTGTTTCTAGGTAAGTGCATAAGACAATTAGGTAACAAAAATAATTCCTGAGGACCTACCAGTTGCATTTTACAGTGAAATTCTCCATATACTTTCTTCTCAGGACATGGTCTGCTTCTGATTTTGTTCCTTCCTTACTGCTGGCTACTTCCAAGTTGGGTTTGTTTGGGGTTTTGGTGTTTTTGGGTGGGGGTGGGGTGCTAATTAATTGTTTCTCCCCAAAGATAACTCTTAAAGTAGAACTTCCCAGAGATCAGAATTTACTATTCCACTCTATCTACACTCAATCTCTAGCAATCTCATCTAACTGTGCATCTTTAAGCTCATTCATGTGCTTCAAACTCCAGTTTATTATCGTCAGGACAAACTGTCTCAATTTACCAGTTCTACATGCAGATCTCACAGGTGCATCCACCTGGACACACATTCTTCCGAATCAGCGGCACACCCAGTTAGCATCCTTTCAGTTAGACAGAGCCTCACCTCAGTCCGTTTGCCTGTGATGTTCCCCTTTGTCTGAGACATATGCTTCTGGCAAAGTCTGAGAGTTAATTGCTTCAAGCCTCCACTCAAATGTCATCTCAGGGAGGCCTACCCTTAACCCTATTTAAAATTGCACCCTAGTCTTCTCATACTAACCTGAAGCACCACCAAGTCTCTCTTGCTCGGTTGCAACCCAAAAGGTTAATGGTTTGGATCTACTAGCAGCTTTGTTGGAAAAGACTGGGAGTTTCCTATGACAGACAGGTTTTGAGATCTAACAGAGGGTCACTATGTGTAAGAGTTGGCTGGATGGCAGCGGGGCAGGGTTTTGTCTTTGTTACCTTGATTCAGCTCCACTTTTTGCTTTATCCTCCCCATTGCACTTATCATCGAATATGCCAGGTTATATACTCATTTATTATGCTTATTACCTATAACCTCCTCCTAGAATGAAAACTTTATAGAGGCAAGAATAGCCACTTGTTTTCTTGACAGATTTAGTTAAGAATCTTGGACAATATCACAATATTTGTTTAAAAAAGGATAATATTTACCTCCATGCTCTTAAATTCATTGTTATAACCATGATTGCCTCCGCCACAAAATGTATATGCATTACTCCTATAAAGAAATAATATTATTACATTCTGATAAATACATAGATGCAAGACCATTGTGTAAAGCTCATTCTTAATTAACATTTATGTATCCTTTTTTTCTATCAAATGAAGCAAAAATGTATTTATTTTCATGCTGAAATGTATAACAAAGAGACACAAATAGAATGGTGGGAGATATAATTCAATGCCTAGAAATACAGTTCAAAATTCTTTTTATGTTTTAAATACTGACAAAAGAATGGTTAAAGCTATATGTGGAAAAAAAATTCTTCAAACTTGACTACACCTTTATACATCACAGATTACATGATTTATAATAGTTTTATTAATGCTACTTTGAAAAATTGGCTTCTTTATAAATATATCTTTGGGATTAGAAGAAATAGTCATTTTTATTTTACAGTGGTGATGTCTAAGGGAATCATTTGAAAGTACGAATAAGGAACAGTCATGGCAATTTAATTGAAACAGTCAATAAGGCTAAGTCAATATATTCTGTGTATCCATAGCTTATTTTTAATTGGTAGGATTTGCTTTCACACTGTTGCTGCTTTGTATATTACTTGTCTACTAATACTCAATGAACTTGTCTTTTGCCTGTTTTTTTCCATTTAAAAAACTGAATTGAGCAATTTTCTATAATTAGTTTTAATACTTTAAAAAAACCCCTCTGACAGTAAGTAAAACTATATTTTTAAAAGCAATTGAATGTAATGATTTTGATCTTTAAAGAGAGTGATAACTTGCCTCTGGAAACCCTATGGGCATAGAGAAACAATGAAAGTTACACAAGTGTTCAGGGTTCACAGGGTCGCCATGAGTCATCTACAACTCGAGGGCACTTAACAACAACAAAAGGAGCAAAACACCCTTCTTTCTAAAGGCTGCCATTAAAAAGGTTAAAAGTTTTCTCTCTTTTGCTTTCCCAGTGTAGGAAAATACACACACACACACACACACACACACACACACACACACACTGACTTTCACATACTCACAGTTATGCCCATTGCCAACAACTTTACTGAAATCAATTATAATAAAGAAATGAACTAGCCCTTTTTGTGTAATAAAATTTACAGTCTCTAATAAGGTTCTGCTCTGATACTACTGGACCTCCAGAATAAAAAAAGACAAATAAACCAATTACAAAATGGGCAAAAGATGTGGAAAGACTTTTCACAGAAGATGACATTTGGACGGCCAACAGACACATGAGGAAATGTTCAAATTCACTGGTAATAAAAGAGATGCAATTCAAAACCCCAATGAGATACCATCTCATCCCAGTAACAGTGGCAAAGTTTAACAGGACAGCAAATAATGTTGGAGAGGATGTGGCGAGATAGGAACTTGTTTATATTGTTGGTGGGACTGTAAAATAGTACAACCACTCTGGAAGGCAGTTTGGTGTTTCCTCAAAAAGTTGAACATAGAAACTCCATATGACCAAACTATTCCACTTCTAGGAATATACCTCAAGGAAATTAGAACTAGGCAGAGATTTGTATACCAATGTTCATAGCAGCATTATTCATCATCACAAGAAAATGGGAATAGCCCAAATGTCCAACCACAGCTGAATGGACTGAGAAATTGTGGTACTTTCACACAAGGGAATACTATCCCACTAAGGAGCAATGATTTTGTAAAATTCTACGTAACTTGGGAGACACTGGAGAGTATTACGCTGAGTAAGCTAACTCAGTCTCATAAGGACAAATACTGCATAAGACCATCATTGCAAAAAATAGATAGATAACTAGTAAAACATGTATGGGGACCCAAAGGGAAAAGGGGTAGAAAAAAAGGGGTGATGATGGATGGAGGAAAAAACCACAGGGTTGCACAACTTGGGGAGGGTGAAGGAAATGGGTAGGATCTAGGGGAGACCTGAAAAAGAAAGAGTAATGATGGGCAAAGTCCAATGGTGATTCATTTTATAAAACTTAATGCATAGGAATGATTGTATGAAACACAATGTTAATGAAGAATAGTGTGAAACACAATGTATACGAACTTTGTAAGCAAACTAATATAAAAAAAAAGAAATTAATGTTCTTTTCTGGACATTCAGGAAACTTATTAAAGACAGCTTGTATTGGGAAAATCTGCTGTAAAGGATGTCTCAAAGTGCCAAAGAGTAATGATGGTTGTTGTTTTGTTACATATGGTCAAGTCAGAACCAACCCATAGGTGACCCTCCAGCAAGTTTTCAGAGGCAGTAAATTACATGAGAGATTGTCTATCTTTCTTGTGTGCAGCTAGTGGGTTTGAACAGTATGCCTTTGAGTTGACAGTACAGTCCCTTACCAGTAGGCCAGCAGAGCAGAATGTCAGTTTAAAAACTAAGGTGTGCCTGATCCAAATTTCCAGTTGCTTCATATGCATCTGAAATTTTGACAATGAATAATGATGGCTATTTGATTCTCCATGAATACTTAGTGATATGCACGAGAAAGCAATTTGAAACTTTAAAAGAGTTTTAATATTTCCATGGGAAATTAGAACATATATAGATGAAGTCATTTGGATCAGCTGGATTCTACAGAGGTTTGTTTTCTGGTTCTGGTGAGGAATAGGGTGGAGTGTTTACTCGTTCATAGGGTCACTATGAGTTGTCCACAAAGGCACTTAACAACATAGAGAGTTCTATTGGCCTACTGGATAGAAAGTTACGCTATGAAGCCAAAGGTGGGTGATTTTAATCTGTGGCGCTCAGGCCTGGTTTTAAATGGTTTTGGCCAAGCATTCTTCAAGTGATAAAGCACTGGTCTGTCCATTTGCTGTATAGAAGTAACTCATGATTGCTGTGATGCTAAACACTATGACACTGACGTATCAAATGTGAGAATGTTATCCATGGTGGACAGTGTTTGGTGGAGCTCTCTGATTAAAACAAGCTTAGAAATAGGAGAGGCATCCACTTCTGAACTAGCTTGCCTCCAGAAACTCTACGAACTTGGAGAAACGATAAAAGTTATACAAGAGTTCAGGTCTTTCATCCATAGGGTTACTATGAGTTGTCTACGACTCAACGGCACTTAACAACAACATAGATGAAAGGAAGGAAAAGGTCTTCAAAACCAAATTATCAGTAATATGATCTAAAAGTGAGCCTTTGTATTTTTATTTTCAGGAAAAAATATTTTTATTTCCATTTCCCAATGAAGTTTAATTAAGAGCTGTAATAAATATCACGTTTTCAGTAACAAAAAAAAAAAAAACTGCATAAACAACATAAGACTTTGTTCAGGAGCAAAAGAGAAAAATATTGTTTTTCAAAGTTCTATTTTCCTTTGCTTTTCAAATAAATGCTTTAGAAATTTGCTCCTCTGGTTGCACAAGCTTATGCTTCCCAACCATTAATTGGGCTCTGGAAATTGCATATGGAAAAATGGACCTTGGCATTCAAAATAGAGTTGATTTCATCTGTCAGGGTTTAGCTCAATTTCCAAGTACTGTCTGAAATCCTTTGGAACACATTTCCCACTATATTTTCAGTGTCTAATTAATAAAGGCAAAATCAAGGCCAGGTTTTCTTCCTTCATTAGGATAATGGCATAGGTAGTAGAGGAGTAAGACTTCTATACCCAAGCAAATGCCAAGTCCTATCCTGTATAAAATCTTCCCCACCTGTTCCTTCCTCTACCCTTCTGCCATCACCATTCTAAGCCAGATCCTTCTTACTTCTCACTCAAACAACGTTTCTAATATCTTGCTGAAATATTTCTCCCTCTTTCAATCTTACAGAATATTATTTATTAGTGATGAAAATGGAAAAACAAGTCCTAATGGGTACATGAGAAGGAACGCTGTAAACAAGGACTATTGTGGAAAACTTTGGTCATAAACGAGCCATCCATACTCTGCTAGCTGTATCCCATATGCCTAGTGTAGTCTTCACTATCTGCATAGCTCTCTGACTTCCACTGATGATTGCTGAGGCTGGGACCACTAGCATTTTTCTACCTGCCCTCCCTTCTTATTTAGGTCATTCTCTTCCACATAGCAGCTAGAGGTTGTTCTCTGAAATACACAATATACATCTTCCACTTAATATTTACCAATGATCTATAACTGACTTGAGGATAAAAGCACACTCCTTGCTAATAAAAGAAGTCCTTCATTCAGAGAACAATGGCTGTCTTCCAGCAAAGGCAAGGCATCCCCTTCCTCCTACAAACACAGAGCTTGATGGATGGGACAAGGGTTAGGGTTCAGTGCCCACTTATCTTCTTAGCTGGGTATGTCTGTAAAGCACACAAACTGCACAGCGGCACGGTGAGGAGCTACTGCCACACACAGCTTAACCTTCCCTGAATCTTCAAACCCCAAATCAGGAATCATTCCTACCAGGGAGAACCCACTAACGTTCCCTATATTTACATCTCACCAGTGTAATCAGCCCTCTTGCCTCCTTGAGCCTTATATCGAATTCTAGCAGCATCATTATCACACTTATCTTCTCTGAGTGAAACCCCATAGGGCAGAGACTATCACCTATTTCTGAGTAAAGTGCCTGGGTATCTATTGATCCTCAGTGCATGTCATTTTAAGTAGAAATAAGACGGCTAGGAATGAGGACTCCACCCCCTCCACAGGTGCTACTTTCATCGGGTATGATGGAAACGCATAACATACTTAAACAGTACTGACAAAGTGAAAGTCATGATGATTATTATTTATAGAACCTTGCAGTAAACAACAGAAATAAATTACTGATATTGGAGCAGCCCTACACCCCTACATCCAGCTTACTTTGTAGGGGTGAAACCTACTTACATCTCAGAGTCTGTCTCCACTCAACCTTACCTCAAATGACCCACGTCTATGCTTGTATCACTCGGCAGGCACCCAAGGCCTCAGGTAAGATGCCACTTTCCCAGCATGGTGCTGCTGATCCTGGCTTGTCTGCCATCACACTGCCTGGGACACTGTCCTGAGCTGCCAGGGGACATGCGTGGCTCCACATGCGGTGACGTTCCAGGGACCTACACA